CTCACCACCACATAAGCAGAAAAAGCCGGCAGTGGCACTGTGGCTCAAGTGGTAGAGAGCTAGCCTTGAGCTGAAGAGCTGAGGGACAGTGCCCAGGCCCAGAGTTCAAGCCCCACAACCAGCAAAAAAAAAATCATGTGTGAGGCTGTAGGTTTGAGCCATACAACTTGGGAAAAAAGAGTATAACATTTCAAACTTGCAAGAAAATATTAAAAATTCTTTATAACCTTCTTATAGATGGCTTAATTAATATTAAAATCCATTATTAAGAATCCAGTAAGCCAGACACTGGTGGCTCATGCCTGTAATTGTAGCTACTCTGGAGGCTGATATTTGAGGATCACAGTTGAAAGCTAACCTAGGCAGGAAAGTCTGTGGGGCTCTTATCTCCAACCAACTACCAGAAAACCAGAAGCGGTACAGTGGCTCAAAGTGGTAAAGCAGTAGCCTTGAGTAAAAAATAAGGTTAGTTATTCTAGAAAAAGAGTAATTTTTTTTTTTCTTTTTTGGCCAGTCCTGGGGCTTAAACTCAGGGCCTGGGCACCGTTGCTGGGCATCTTTTGCTCAAGGCTAGCACTTTACCATTTAAGCCACAGCACCACTTCCATCTTTTTTTGTGTATTGGTATTGAGGAATTGAACCCAGGGCTTTGTGCATGCTAGGCAAGCATTCTGCACCACATAGCCACATTCCCAGCCAGGCTTAAATACTTTTATCAGTGGCTTTGGAAATGAATTGCTGCCTCATTATCAGAATTATTTTGGAAATATAGTATCATCTAAGAAAATGATAAATTTGGCAAAATCTATTGTATTTTTTAAAAAAGAAATACCTTTTAAAATAAATGTAGGCTGACTCCTAAGTAGGTTTGTGAGATGTAATTAGCCTAATTCCAGGAGCAAGGAACCTTCTGCAAATATTTTCTCTGTTTTTCCTTCTGTTACTGAGGATTGAACTCAGAGCCTTGCATGTACTGGGCAAGTATCTTTTATTGCATGTGCCGTTCCAATTTTTCTTTTTTTCTTTTTTTTGCTAGTCCTGGGGCTTGAACTCAGGGCCTGGGCACTGTCCCTGAGCTGCTTTTGCTCAAGGCTAGCACTCTACCAATTGAGCCACAACACCATTTCCAGACTTTTTTGTGTATGTGGTGCTGAGGAATCGAACCCAGGGCTTCATGCATTCTAGGTAAGCACTCTACCACTGAGCCACCTTCCCAGCCCAGTTCCAAATATTTTTGAATCTTTAACAAAGTTAAAGAATACATTATATCAGCCAGGCGCTGGTGGCTCACGCCTGTAATCCTAGCTACTCAGGAGGCTGAGATATGAGGATCGCGGTTCAAAGCCAGCCCGGGCAGGAGAAACCGTGAGACTCCTATCTCCAATAAACTACCAGAAAACCGGAAGTGGCGCTGTAGCTCAAGTGGTAGAGCGCTCGCCTTGAGCTGAAGAGCTGAGGGACAGCGCCCAGGCCCAGAGTTCAAGCCCTACGACCGACCAAAAAAAAAAAAAAAAATAATACATTATATCCTGGCTTGCTATGACTATGAATTTATTTTTGTCAATTTTTTTTTTTTTTGGGTCCGGTCGTGGGGCCTGAACTCTGGGCCTGGGCACTGTCCCTCAGCTCTTCAGCTCAAGGCTAGCGCTCTACCAGTTGAGCTTCCCGCTTTTTTTTTTCTGCTTATGTGGTGCTGAGGAATCGAACCCAGGGCCTCATGCATGCAAGGCAAGCGCTCTACCACTGAGCCACCTTCCCAGCCCCCTATTTTTGTCAAATTTTGTTAAATTTATTTTGTTAAATTTTCCTCTGAAAAATTTTAAGCTTTTTATTATGGGAAATTTCAAGCATATTCAAAAGTAGAATGGTATAATAAGCACAGGAATTTATGGCTAGTCTCATTTCAGTCCTTTCCCCATTTATGCTCTTCTCTCAGAATACTCAATTGATTAATTTTAAGTGTATATCTCAAACTTTAAGGTAATGAAGTCTTCAAAAACTCCGTAAATTACCTTAGGAGTCAAATTCAGTCTGTTTGGATTTTCCTGTTTCCTCCCTTCTCCTCACCCAAGTCCTGGGGTTTGACTGAAGCCTGGACACTGAGCTTCTTTTGCTCAAAGCTAGCACTCTACCACTTGAGCCACAGCCCCATTTCTGTTTTTTTCTGTTTATGTGTTAAGTGAAGAATCTAACAGAGGGCTTCATGTATGCTAGGCAAGCATTCTACAACTAAGCCACATTCCCAGCCCTTTCCTTTTGTCTTTTAACTGCCTTTTCCTTTTTCTTTGTTCCTGTCTTGCAGCTTGAGCTCAGTGCCTGGGTTTTGTGCTCAAGGCTAGAGCTCTACCACTTGAGCCACAACTGCATTTCTGACTTTCTGCTGTGTAGTTGGAGATAAGATTTTTCATGAACTTCCCTGCCTGGGATGGCTTCGAACCATGATCCTCAAATCTCAGCCTCCTGAGTAGCTATGATTGTAGTAGGTATGAGCCACCAGCTCCCTGCCTCAATAGTTTTTTGTATTAGAGTGTTTTATCAAACCATTGTATAGATGGTCCCAGACTTAGGATGGTTCATCTTAAGAGTTTTTTACTTAATGATGGTAAGAAAATAGGCATGAAAATAAATTCCTTAACATTCTGCTGGGTAAGAACACTCATTTAGGGCCTTAGTTTACAAAACACCCTTCCCATATTTGAAGTCTTCACAGCAGTCATGGGTAAATATGACTACTTTATTTATTTATTGTTAGTCATAGGGCTTGAACTCTGGGCCTAGGCGCTGTCCCTCAGCTCTTCAGCTCAAGGCAAATGTTCTACCACTTGAGCCACTGCACCACTTCCGTTTTCTGAGTGGTTTATTGGAGATAAAAGTCCCATAGACTTTCCTGCTCAGGCTGGCTTTGAACCACAATCCTCAGATCTCAGCCTCCTGAGTAGCTAGGATTACAGGTGTGAGCTACCGAGGCCAGGCTACCTGTTTATTATTTTTACCTAGAAGGGGGTCAGAGATGTTAAGTGACTTGTTCTATTTTCCACTGTCTGTACTTGGCAGGGCCAGAGGTTGAGCCTAGATCCTAGGTTTTGACTTCAGCTCCATTTTACTTTGACTGTAGCTCTACTACACATAAAATTATTGGTCCAAAATACTTCCTTTTCCCTTCTTACCCATTCCCTAATACAGTTATAGAGAATGCTAGCTCAGAGCATATGATTGAATAAATCCTAATTTCCCAATTAATGGGAAGTCTTGTTCTTTGTCATTTAGGGATCTTTCCTTAGAAGTACTTATTTTCCTATTAACACTGTGGTTCTTTCTTTTTATTTTCCTCTCTGCCCCCAGCCAAAGGTTCTCATCTTAATTTGAAGTCTAATTAACTTTGCAATTTAAAATTATGATTCTTTTTTTTTGGGGGGGGGTCCGGTCGTGGGGCCTGGGCGCTGTCCCTCAGCTCTTCAGCTCAAGGCTAGCTCTCTACCACTTGAGACACAGCGCCACTTCTGGCTTTTTTCATTTTGCTTATGTGGTGCTGAGGAATCGAACCCAGGGCCTCAGGCATGCAAGGCAAGTGCTCTACCACTGAGCCACCTTCCCAGCCCCTGCAATTTAAAATTCTGATTGCTGGCCATTCCCACTGAACTGATTCATTGAGATCTGGGATGGAATTTTTTTTTTCTTCCTTTTTTTTTTTGCCTGAACTCTGGGCTTAGGTACTGTCCCTCAGCTCTTCAGCTCAAGGCTAGCGCTCTACTTGAGCCACAGTGCCACTTCTGGCTTTTTCTGCTTATATGGTGCTGAGGAGTTGAACCCAGGGCCTCATGCATACAAGGCAAGCACTCTACCACTGAGCCACCTTCCCAACCCAACATGTATGTTTTTAAAAAGCTCTTATACATAATCAAAAGGAAGAATTCTACCTGAGTATATTTTAAGCTGTTAGTTTAGAAGTAAACCTAGGGTTTGGGGAGTAGAGACTTATTTATAGAGTTTAGACACTTAGTGTAATGGGAGTGTTGTTTTCTTCTTGGCTGGTAAGTAGCAGAGCATAACTGAATTGTAGAGAATCTAATTATTTTCATTTTCCCATTGTCTCATTTTTAAATGAAATATTTGAAATGATAAAATTGTAGTATATATCTTTTGAATGTACAATTTTCCTGGAAAAGTCACCTTTTTGGAGTAATAAGCTTTTACTATTATTTAATACTGTAAGAAATAATGAAGTATTTGAATGTGTAATGCTTATGACTTACAGAATGGTAAATCCTGAACTTTATACTTCAAGTTAAGTAATAGATTTGACAAAAAAATGGTACTTTGGTCATAATTAATTTTGTAATATACTAAACAGAATGGGAGTTGATACAAATTTAGCTTCTTTAAAAAATGCTTTCATTAGCCTATAATAGTTGTACACGGCAAGTTCATTTGAGACATTCCAGATGTGCATACACTGTTCTATATCAACTTCATCCCTTCTATCACTCTCCCTTATTTTCCCCTTCCCCTTAAAAATGATTTCAGCAGGTTTCCCTGTTGTTGATCCATACATACATATAAAATGCTTTTACCATATTCACCCTCTTTCACCCTTTCCATTCATTTCTGCCCCCTCTGATTCCTGCCCTCCAACAGAGTCTGTTTTACTCTGTCATTTACTTTTCAGTGCATATTAATTATATCAAAGGATTTTACCATCCTATTTTACATGTGTATATGTTGTATTTTTGTTATAATTCCCTCTATTGCTTTCTTTCCCCACCCCCTTATTATTTAATTTTCCAGTTCAATTTCTCATGCCATCTTTTCACATAGATGCAGTTTATTTTAGTATTATTCTCTTTTTCCTCATTTCCCTTCTGTACTCAAAAGTCCCATAGTTACAATTAAGTTAAATGTTTGTATAAGCCCATATATGTTTATACTATACTGAACCGAACAAGAATTGATACAAATAGGATTTTGTTTAATCTCAAATCTCTCTTTCTCTCTTCCTTTAGTTCTTTTTGGAGGTGGATATCTACTCAGACAATAAGAATTGTAAGAGGTCAGTTACAAATAATGCTCTTTGTTATTTAAAGTGTAATAAAAAAGTGTTTATATATTGAAATATTATACTTTTACATTAAAAGTTGGCTTCGTGTAGAATACTGGCAGGCCTGAAGTATTGTGTTCTACCACCTCTAATTCAGAATTAGAATCAATGAAAATGGGACAGGCCGTGGAGCTTCTAGAATGTCTGGAGAGTACTTAGTGATTTTCCATACATGACCTGTCTTTTCTGGTGGTTTGCATGCTTGTGCTGGGGAATTCTGTTCTCTACAGATGCTGGCTGTTGGACAGACTATTTAGCTGTTACCACTGAGCTGCTTCCTAAATATGCAAACCTTCAGAAACAAGACTGCCTTTGTCATCTTAGCTAGGAAAGAAAAACTTGAAGCTGTCCTTATGTATTCTTCATTTATTTGTCCAGGAACCATATTTTGTTAATCTTTGCTTTTTCTACCATGGAGTCAAAGAATTCATTTCTCATGAATTTTGTTTTTTTTTTTGTGTGTGTGTGTATTAGTATCTATACCTGAATGTCTTACTCTCTTGTGAAGAAGACAGCATTTATTTTCTGTTAGTTGGAATGGAATTTTTTTTTGCTGGTTCTACTATTTTTAATCTTATTTGCTCTAAACCATCAAAGAAATGAGGCTTTTTTATTGCCATATCTTTTGATATTCTTCAGAGTGGTCAGTTGAACTTCCTTTTAATTTTTTTATTTTTTTTTGTCGGTCGTAGGGCTTGAACTCTGGGCCTGAGCGCTGTCCCTCAGCTCTTCAGCTCACAGCTAGAGCTCTTCCACTTGAGCTACAACGCCACTTCCAGTTTTCTGGTGGTTTATTGGAGACAAGAGTTTCACAGACTTTCCTGCTCGGGCTGGCTTTGAACTGTGATCCTCAGATCTCAGCCTCCTGAGTAGCTAGGATTACAGGCGTGAGCCACCAGCACCTGGCTTTTAATCCTTTTTTTTGTCTTTAATGATTTGGTTTTCTTTTAATGGGCCTTTTATAATGAACTTTTTTCATGAAATTTGGAGGCATTTTGTTTTAAAGTATATAGCACATCAAGGGGAAAATGTATAGTAAAGTAGACATCAGATTTTTCTGACTGCTTGGTACTCTGTGTGTATATGTGTGCTTGCACATGAGTCACTAAGGTATGCAGGGGATTAAACCCAGGTTTTTGCACATATTAGGAATATGCTTTACCACTGAGCTATATTTCTAGCGTGATACTTTTATATTTCATTGTGGTTTAATAAATACTGGGTTAAGTTGGATGTCTCTGACTCATACCTGTCAAGAGGCTGACAGGTGATCACAGTTCAAAGCCAGCTCTGGACAGAAAAGCCCAAGAGACTCTTACCTATAGTGAACCAGCAAAAAAGCCATTCTGTAAGTGTGGCTCAAATGATTCGAGTGCCAGGCTAAGTGAGAGGCCAGGCTGTGAGTTCAAGCCCTAGTATCTGGAAAAACAAACACCAAAACAATTTAAACCAGTGTCTCACACCTGTAATCCTAACTACTCAGGAGGCTGAAATCTGAGATCATGGTTCAAAGCTAGCCCAGGCAGGAAAGTCCATGAGACTCTTATCTCTAATTAATCACTGAAAAACCAGAAGTGGAGCTTTGGCTCAGGTAGTAGAACAGCACTAACTGAGCAAAAAAGCTCAGGGACAGTACCTTTGGCCCTGAGTTCAAGTCCCAGGACCAGCTTGGGTACACACACACACACACACACACACGCACGCACGCACGCACGCGCGCGCACACACACACACACACACACACACACACGACAGCAAAGTAATCTTTCACTCTCAGGAAATGCTTATAGGTTTTTTGTTTTTGTTTTGCTGTTTTTGCATTCCTGGCAGTTTGCTATTACTGTATTATTCTTGTAGCATGGTAGTTCTCAAATTTGTTAAAACATGGATTATTGGGTCTTATCATGGGTTCTGATATTTAAGTGCTCTAAGTCAAGGCCAGAAAATTTGCACTTCTTATAAGTTCCAAGGTGCTTCTACTGCTGCAGGTCCAGGAAACACATTTTGAGAACCACATTGCTGTAGCATTTATGGATGCTGTTTTTTGTCTCTAAATAAATAAGCTCTGATTTACAAAGTGCACAAAAATAATGGTACAATACTATACAAAATAATGGTACAATGGTGTAATTTTAACGACTTCAGTGGTGATAAATATTATCCTTTGGTCTAAGGTGATAGCACATTACTCCTCAGGTAAATTTATACCTTAAAGTGGTATGCAGCATATAAAATAAATTTAAGCTGAATGCTGGTGGCTCATGCCTGTAATCCTAACTACTCAGGAAGCTGAGATATGAGGATTTGGGTTCAAAGGAGCCCTGGCAGGAAAGTCTGTAAGACTCTTATCTCTAAAAAACCACCAGAAAAACAGAAGTGGTACTGTGGCTCAAAGTGGTAGAGTACTAGCCTTGAGCAAAAGAGATCAGGGATATTGTCCAGGCCTTGAGTTCAAGCCATATGACCCCCCCATAATAATGATTAGCTATTAATATTCAATGATGTAGAACACTTCAAAATCGGGATTGGAATACTTACTGATTTAAAATGATTGATCAAGTCAAAACTATTTAGTACTGAGCTGATGTGTAGTTTTGAAATTTTTTAAATTGTGGTTTTTGGTTTTTTTGGCCAGTCCTAGGGCTTGAACTAGGGCCTGGGCACTGTTCCTGAGTGTCTTTTGCTTAAGGCTAGCACTCTACCACTTGAGCCACAGTACCATTTCTAGCTTTTGTTTATATGGTACTGAGGAATCGAATCCAGGGCTTCATGCATGCTAGGAAAGCACTCTACCACTAAACCACATTCCCAGCCCTAAATAGTGTTTTTGAGGGGACAAAATATTTTTCATTTTCTTGAGAGTTTTCTTATTGTGGGCTTTGCACTGTATTTTAATCTTGGCAACTGTGACAGTATTTAAGTTAACTAATAAGGTAATATGTCTAGAAAATGGTGCTCAATTGAGATGACATCCCTGTAATGTTGATAACAGATTTTGTATTTGGTCTACATTGACTTTTCCACCAGCTCCATTTATGTAATTGAATAAGTAATAGTTAAATTATTATAGCCAAATGTAGCCATTTGGAGTAAAATTTTAAAAGATGTAATTTAACAAAAAATTAAGATATGTTTTCCTCTTGAGGGCATAAAAAGACTGACAGAAAGGTAGGATTTTTAAAGTTATGCAAAATGTAAAATTCATAACCTGTCCATGTATAGTGATTGTAACTAGATGATCATTATGTAGCTTACACTAAACAATGAATTTTAGACAACCAGTATTGTCAAACATTTATCACAAAATTATAATCTTAGAATAAATAGATTTTTTTTTTTTTTGGCCAGTCATGGGGCTTGAACTTAGAGCTTAGGCACTGTCCCTGAGCTATTTTTTCTCAAGGTTAGCACTCTTCACTTGAACCACAGCTCTACTTTTGTTTTTTTGGTGGTTAATTGAAGATAAGAGTCTCTCGGACTTTTCCTGTCTGGGCTGGCTTTGAACTGTGATTTTTCAGATATGAGCTTCCTGAGTAGCTAGGATTGCAGACATGAGTCACCAGTGCCTGTCTTCAAATAGCTTTTTTTATACCACTAATGTTTCTTCATTGATCATAATTATCTTTTGAATTTTAAATTATAAAGACATTTGGATTGGCTTATAGTTTTTTAAAAAAAATTTCTTTGATAGAAAAGGGAACTTGTTTTACTTTTTTTTTTGATGGTTGTGGGGCTTGAACTCTGGGCCTGAGCACTGTCCCTCAGCTCTTCAGCTCACGGCTAGAGCTCTACCACTTGAGCTACAGCGCCACTTCAGGTTTTCCGGTGGTTTATTGGAGATAAGAGTTTCATGGACTTTCCTGCATAGGCTGGCTTTGAACTGTGATCCTCAGATCTCAGCCTCCTGAGTAGCTAGGATTATAGGCGTGAGCCACCTGCGCCCGGCTTGTTTTAACTTTTTAGGCATAGTTAACCATGATCTCAATTTTCCTTCATTGTAGAAACATAGCCTTGGGGCTGGGAATGTGAAGGTGGCTCAGTGGTAGAGTGCTTGCCTAGCATGTATGAAGCCCCAGGTTCGTTTCCTCAGTACCACATACACAGAAAAAGCCAGAAGTGGCACTGTGGCCTCAAATGGTAGAGTGAACTGAAAAACTCAGAGACAGCACCCAGGCCCAGAGTTCAAGCATCACGACTGACCAAAAAAAAAAAAAGAAAAAAAGAAAAAAAAGAAGAAAGCCTCACATAGAATAGCCAAGAAAGCTAATTCTGAAAATGTCATGCTAAGGGCAAATAGTTTATTAGTTATAATATCTGAGTGTCCTCAGCTATATGTTCATAACTTGCTTCTCTTACTTTTCATTATCCCAATAGCTCTGAGAGCTTTATTTAAAAGAATAATGGATGAACCATCTTCCTTGGCCAAACCTCTGGAGCTGAATCAGCATTCCCGATTTATAATTGGATCCGTGTCTGAAGATAACTCTGAAGATGAGATCAGCAACCTGGTGAAGCTGGACCTATTAGAGGAAAAGGAAGGTTCTCTGTCACCAGCCTCTGTCAGCTCAGATACACTTTCTGATTTGGGGGTCTCTAGTTTACAGGATGGCTTGGCCTTACACATAAGGTAAGAGAGAGAAGTTGAATGGTGAATTTACTTTACCTACCTTAATCGTTTTGCTGATTATGTTCAGAAAAGAATAATATTAACCAAGATTGCCTTACTTCTTTCCATATCACTGGACTTACAACTTTGTAAGTAGGAAATGATGTATTTTGCAAGATTTGGCAGTGCTTTTTTTCCTAAATATTACCTTCAGCTTTTTTTCTGCCTTTTTCACATAGTAGGTGTTTTAGTGAGAGTTGGTTAGGCTTAGGAATTTCAGTCTGTCTATTTTCTTTTTTTTGGTCCGGTCGTGGGGCCTGAACTTTGGGCCTGGGCGCTGTCCCTCAGCTCTTCAGCCCAAGGCTAGCGCTCTACCACTTGAGCCACAGCACCACTTCCGGCTTTTTTTTCTTATGTGGTGCTGAGGAATCAAACTCAGGGCCTCAGGCATGCAAGCAAGCGCTCTACCTTTGAGCCACCTTCCCAGCCCTCAGTCTGTCTATTTTGAATATTAGTATTATTATTACTATTATTATTTAGTACTGGTTCCGGAACTTGACTTCAGCCTGGTCACTGTCTCTGAGCTTTTTTGCTCTTGGCTAATGCTCTTCCAATTGAGCCATAGCTGTACTTCCAGTGTTTTGGTTAATTGGAGATAAGAGTTCCACATACTTTCCTGCCTGGTTTCGAACTGTGATCCTCAGATCTCATCTTCCTGAGGAGCTAGGATTGCAGGCAAGAACCACTGGTGCCCAGTAAGCATTTTCTAAAACATGCTGTGCAGGTGATTCTAATGGGCAACCAGGATAAAAATTATAGGTCTATCCTAGGTAAACATACATTAGGGTGGCTTTTGCTGTTATTATCTTGGTGCTCCTGTTAATAATAGATTATAAAACAATTCACCTCCTTTTTATGTTCTCAAGAAACTGACTCTATAGTAATATCTCATATGAGATCTGGCTGGATCTGACTGATCTGCACATTGCTATCCTTGGGGTTTAGAATTCTGGTTTCTGAGAGAGAAGGTAATTATATTAGTAATCACTCTCTCTTAGCTCTGTAGAGGTCAAATGAAAGAGTAACAAGTTGATTTTGTTATATCATAGATTCCCTATAACTGCAATGAACTTGAAAAATAATTTAACCTAATGTTTGTTTTTATTTTTACTTTTATTTTTGGTTGTTGGACTTGAACTCAGGATCTGGGTGCTGTCCCTTAGTTCTTTCTCTCTCTCTTTTTTTTTTTTTTGCCGGTCGTGGGGCCTGTACTCTGTGCCTGGGTGCTGTCCCTCAGCTCTTCAACTCAAGGTTAACGCTCTACCACTTGAGCCACAGTGCCACCTCCGGCCTTTTCTGCTTATGTGGTGCTGAGGAATCGAACCCAGGGCCTCATGCATGTAAGGCAAGCACTCTACCACTAAGCCATCTTCCCAGCCCTCTCTTTTTTTTTTTGTTGGTTGTGGAGCCTGAACTCTGGGCCTGGGCACTGTTCCTCATCTCTTCAGCTTAAGCCTAGCACTTTCCACTTGAGCCACAACACCACTTCTGGTTTTTCTGCTTATGTGGTACTGAGAAATTGAACCCAGGGCCTCATCATGCAAGGCAAGCACTCTACCACTGGGCCACCTTCCCAGCCCCTCCCTGAGTTCTTTTTTGTTCTAGGTTAGTGCTCTGCCACTTTGAGCCACAGCATTACTTCGAGTTTTCTAGTGGTTAATTGGAGGTAAGAGTCTCATGGCTTTCCTGCCCTAGCTGGCTTTGAGCCTTGATCCTAAGATTTTTGCCTCCTGAGTAGCTAGAATTATAGGCATGAGCCACCAGTGCCTGGCTTAGCCTAATGTTTTAATGTCTCTCCCCCTCTATCCACAGTTTCCATATATAGCATTGGCCTCATAATCCCAGCAAGCCTGCTGTTTTGTTTTAATAGATGAAAAGACTGAGGCCTAATGAATGGAAACAACTTGCCTTAGATTGACTAGCCAGAAAAGTGGAATTCCAACTCAGATATCCTAATCAATTTCAGTAGCTTTTTTGCTCAAGGCTAGTACTCTACTACTTGATCCGAAGCTCTACTTCCAGCTTTTTAGTGGTTAATTGGAGATAAGGATCTCACAAACTTCTCAGGCTAGCTTCTAACTCAATCCTTAGATTTCAGCCTCCTGAGTAGCTAGGATTATGGACAGGTGCACCCAGTGCCTTAATATAAGTGTCTTAATTATATAACTAGTCCAGACAGTGTTTTATGGAGTTTGTGAATAAAGTATATCATACCTTTGCCTAAAAATGAGGAATTAGAGGTAGAGAAAATGGATTAGGTCTTTATTACTATATAGTTCACTTTATTTATTACTGTATAGTTCACTTTTATTACTGTATAGGTTAATACTAATGGTGTTATTTCCCCCCAAGGTCATTTGGAAGTGGGGGTTATGACTGTTGTACTCTTTGTATTGGGAAGACAGAAGACCAATGATACTAAACTTTTGCAGTATAGTGGATACTCCCACACAACCATGTATTGTTTTCAAAATCTGTCTTCTATTGAGAAAGACTAGATTACTTCTAAATCCTTGAAGCCACATACCTCCTAGAGAAATTTGTCTAATTTAGTTCTATGTGAAACAAAATTCATTTGCTGAATTGGGAAACTGGATTAGGCAACAGTATGATAAATGCCATTGTAGGAAACTCAACTAATGATATTACAAGGCAGTTTGTAGTTCCCAGATCATTTCCAAAGTTCATGGTAGTTGTGTGTAGATCATGTGGGCAGTGGTATGAATGCCAGAGAATGTCTGTTGATGCTTTACTGTTGCCAGACCCATGCTATTTGCTCGTGGGGCAGTCATGGATGGAAGTGTGATCAGCAGCCTGACAGGGGCATTTCTACTAGCTTCTCTACTAAATTTCCAAAATGGAACAGTTTCTTGCTTGGCTTATTTCTTTCTCTTTTTTCTTCTTCCTTTCCTTTCCTTTCCTTTCCTTTCCTTTCCTTTCCTTTCCTTTCCTTTCCTTTCCTTTCCTTTCCTTTCCTTTCCTTTCCTTTC